GCGACTCAGGGATTCTCAGGGCAACTGGGGGTCTGGCCTTGTGTTGGTGTTTTGCGTGATCTTCTCTAATGCTCTGGCTTGGTTTGTCATGTGATGTTATGCGGTTCTCTGTTATGTGACGTTCGGCTCTGGTTTGTTACGTGATGTTATGGTGTGCTCTGTTCTTCCATGCGATGCATTGTTTTGTCATGTTCTGTCATGCCCTGTTCTGTTCTGCCGTGTTCTGTCTACTAAGTTGGTCTGTTATGGCGTGATAGGCTCTGGTATGTTCTGTGATGTTCTGTCATGATATGGTTTGCTATGGTACTGCCATGTTAGGTTCCGCCATGTTATGCCATGGTTGGATTATGTTATTGTTTATCCTATTGTGGCGCGTTGTGCTCTGTCGTGTTCGTCGCTGTTCTGCTGTCATGTTATGATATGTTCTGAACGCTGTGTCATGATATGATGTGTCCCGTCAATATGCGTCATGGTATGATCAGTTATGGTATGTTAATGTGTGCTGTGTCGTTTTATGGTATGTAATGTGGTGTCGCGTTTGTATTGCAATGTTCTAGTACGCTCTATGTTGTCACGATTTTGCTATGTTATGTTATGTAATGTTATGGTGTGTACTGTTGTGCTGTTTCGTCCTTGTCGAGGGCGCGAGACGGGACTCCCAGGGACACTCGGGGACACCCGGGAACTCTCGGGGGAACTTGGGGTCTGGCGGCCGCGGTATGCAGTCGTGTTTGTCGAGAGCGAGAGGGCAAGAGTCCCAGGGACTCTCGGAAATACTGGGGGATTCTCGGGACAACTTGGGGTCTGGCGGCCGCGGTATGCAGGGTGGGGTTGGCCGGCCGGTCTGTTCTTGAAATCTAACAACCCCAACCTGTCAGGTGGGGAACAAACAAAGAAACAAACAACACACACACACACACGCACACACACTCACACACGCGCGCGCAAACGAGCACACACGCATGTGCACAAGAAGACACGCGTAGGCAGGCACGCACGCGCGCACGCACGATGGGAGAGAACATCAACACCTGTAAATAAAAAGCGGCGCGAGCTGAGCACGACGGGATCTCCGTACCAGTCGTCACCTCGGTCGGGGGGAGGCTGCGTCTCCACTCCCCCGCCTGTCCTCCCGCGCTCGCTCGACGTCCCGCATCGTTTCCCCCCCCCCCGTCCCCGCCCCTGTCCCGATGCCCCTTCCCCGACACCCAAGGGGACGAGGAGAAGGAGGAGAAGGCGAGGAGGAGGCGGAGGAGGGAGAAGGAGGAGGAGGAAGAGGAGGAGGAAGAGGAGGAAGAAGAGAACGCCCAGAAAACTTCTCGGAAGGCCTGGGGCTGGTCCTTTTTTTGGAGCCTGTCGAGGAGGCCCGCGCCCCCCCCCCGGGGTTGTGGCCCAGAATGGCCCAGACCCCCTTCTCTAAACCTTCTGCCCGCCCTTCGACATGAAAGGGTTACCTGGGGTGAAGGGTGTCAGACCCATCCGCTCTGATCCCCAGTGGACCCTCCCGCCTCTGGTCCACTCTGTCGCGGGGCCCCCGTGGCACATCCTGGAGTCTCAAGCGCTGGCACGCGCCCTTCTGATGCATAAAAAATTGAGCAATGTCCATAACGGCAGTACACGGCCTGCCGTGCAACTCGGACGAGGTTGCGGTATTCTCTGAAGAGATGTTGGCAGTGCTCACATCTACGTGTCCGTAGCTCCTGGTACCTCAGTGTAGGAGCCTCCCGCAAAGTAAGGATCTCGTCGTGTAAGGTCCCGGCGGCGGCAGCGCCCGTATCCCTGACGCTCACGAGCTGCGCCTCCACTGCAAGGAGGTAATCACAGAGCGTCTGTATTGCAGTCTAGCCGGCACCTCAGGGTGACCCCACACGGTCAACATGAGATTGGACCTCATTGAGGCTCGATCGATACTCGGCGACCCAAGGGTCGACCAAGGCAAGAGCGCGCTGAGTATCTTGCCTCAAGTTTGCTGCCTGTGTCGAGTGATCAGCGAGTGCGGCAGTAAGACCCGACAATGTTTGAGTACTGTAACTCCGAACCTGGTCTCTGAGCTCTGCCAACTCGTTGGCGGAAGGCGACACGCGCGGCGCTGGACCGCGCCTCAGGAAATTCTGGCGCGAGCGCCTGTGCGAAGGGCTGCGGCTAGCGTCTCTACGCTGAAACTGGAGATGGTACGGGGACTCTTCTGTGTGAGGTCATTCCGTTACGGCCCTCGATGGCACGCGCGCGTTCAGACACGGGAACCGAAGCGGGGCTCGAAGGGCCTCGGGTGCCCAAGTGGTGGTGTCGCGCGGAAGCGCTCGGAGGAGACGATTCGATCGCGCCGCCGCAGGTTGTTACACCAGCGTAAACATTGGAGAGAGAAGGCGTGGAGGTTCCCACCGACAGGATGACGAGTCGAATGGAAACTTTGTCGAAATCCTGGGGTGCACGATTGCGCTGGTGGGGGGGGATTAGGGTATCATTCTCTGCCGCACTGCCCTCTCCGTGTCATCGCCAAACCCAATCACCGTCGAGGAGCCACCGCGTGCATAGTCACTGATCCCCGCAGGTTCCAGTGGCATGCGCGAGGCTCGAAGCCGGCGCGAGGATCCGCAACGGAGAGCGAAGTAGAAAAGGCTGATAACCTGCGAACGGGGGTTGCCGACCAGAGGGCCGAACCTATGGTAGGGTCAATTGGTAGAGGACGATGAGAAGAACGAATGGACATCTTTTATCCTCGCGCCCGAAGAGTAGCGGGCGCAGAAGTATCCTGTAGGATGTCCAATACCTGAGCCGAAAGGATAGCAGGATAGATTGATAAAGGGGAGGGGAGCGGTCTTCATACACACACACACACACCGCCAGGCCTGAAGACTGGCGCCCTGCTCAGCGAAGGAAGGCATGAGGGCCCATAATCGAATCTGTTTGTCGGATCGACGATCGACATGAGCGGATCGGCGGAAATCGGCAGCCAAGTCGTGCGAAGCCGAATCGGCGGAGATCGACAGGCCAGTGAGCCCTCCGCTGAGAAATTGGAGGCCGCCTCGAAATCCGAGGCCGATTCGACTCGGCATCGAAACCTATCGAGATCCGAAGCCGAATCGAACCAGAGGAATCGAACAGCCGAGAAATCGGCGTCCGCATCGGCTATCCGAAGCCGAGTCGACTCGGCATCAAAACCCATCGCGATCTTAAGCCGAGTCCAGCCGGAAAAATCAAACACATCCCCAGAAGACCCCCCCCCCCGCGCCCGCGCGTGGGGACTCCTCCGCCTCCTCCCCCTCCTCCCTCCTCCCTCCTCCCTCCTCCCTCGTCCACCTCCCTCCTCCCTCCTCCCTCCTCCTCCTCCCTCCTCCCTGCTCCTCCTCCCTCCTTCTCTTCCTCTTCCTTCTCCTCCTCCTCCTCCTCCTCCTCCTCCTCCTCCTCCTCCTCCTCCTCCTCGTGGAGGCGTTTTTGCTCACCCACCCAGGAAGGTGGCCGCCCCCGTCCCAGAGTGGACGCTCGCCCGCGAGGGGCAGGCGGCACGCCCTGCCGCAGGGCGCCACAGAAACGCGACTTCGCACGCGACCCGCAACACACGGCGGTCGCAGCAGGTCGGGCACGTCCTCCTCCTCCTCCTCCTCCTCCTCCTCCTCCTCCTCCTCCTCCTCGTCCTCCTCCTCCTCTCCTCCTCCCTCCTCCCTCCTCCTTCCTCCTCCTCCTCCTCTTCCTCCTCCTCCTCCTCCTCCTCCTCCTCCTCCGCCTGGAGGCTCGAGCCCTCCGCTCTGGAGGCGTGTTGGCTCGCCCCCCCCCAGAAGGGGTGGCCGCCCGCCTCCAAGAGTGGACGCTCGCCCGCGGGGGGCAGACAGCGCGCCCTGCCGCAGGGCGCCAAAGACGCGACCCAGCACGCAACCCGTAAAACACGCTGCGGTCGCAGCAGGTCGGGCACGTCCTCCTGCACCGCGGCGGATGTTGGAAGGCGTCCGAAACATCGGCGCGAAAGATCGTCCCCTGACTATGTTCTGCTGCTCTCTAAGAGTCCTCCTGCAGAGGGGCATGCCCGACTTGAGCCCAGGTCCGCCGCGGGGGATATGCGATCCACCACTTCAGGAAAGACATGTCTGTTTGTTCGGACGGTTGGGCGAGTTGGCACTTCTTGCGAGTAGTCCAGAACGGGTCTTACGCGCGATGACGTAGCGACCTTACGCGGCGGCTTACGGGGGCCACCATCGCGTCACGCCACGGTGGAGACGAGGGCGCTCACGCGCGACCTTACGCAGGCAGCTTGCGCGTGAATGTCGGCGCAGACGACCCCGCTGTCTCGCGTCGCTTAGATGTCTGCGCCGGCTTGCGTGCCTCGGGATGGCGGCAGTGAGCTCACGAAGGCGAAGCCGTCCCCATGCGTGCAGACCGTCGCAGATAGCTGACCGAGGAGCGCTACGGACCGAGGAGCGCCACGCCCGGAGCGCAGAACGCCCCCTGCACCAGAAGCTGACGCAACTCTCCCTCCAAACATCCAGAGCGGGCGACTCAGATGACGGGTGGCCAAAGAAGTGGCTATCATGGGTGCGCGTCGTGCCGACTTCGACGTTGGCTCTCGGCACCGATGAGATCGTTCAACCATGAACGATCGTTCAGCATCGACCGATTCTGGGTCGCCAGCGGCTGGCAATGTCAAACGCCAGTCGACACGACGCGAATCCACCGTAACAGTGCTCACACCTAGACAGGGCGAATCGAACCCACACACCGACCGACTCAAATCCACCCGCCGGGCGACACGACGCAAATCCACCCACAAGGCGCTGCTTGGCACCCGACATCCGCCGATATGAATTTCTCGATCCGCGGCCCACAGCGGCCCCTTCCCCGGGGGTGGTTTTCGTCCCGGATCCATTGTTGATGGTCCCTGGGCCCGATAAGGGGCCCCGAATCCAAGGAAAATCCCTGGATTGAAAAAATCCTATCCTCGGATCTCTTGGAAGGCAAGCCGTGTGTGCCGCAGCGAAGGGGGTGCCTTCGGAGGTCAGCGCTGGGGCCGTCACCTTTGCCCTTGCCCTTGTCGGGGGCCCCCACGGTGTGCCTGTCGGGGTCCGCGTCGTTCAGGAAGGCCTGCGGGGGCGCGCAGCCCGCCCGCCAGGATTGACGCACCGCGGCCGCCACCCCCGTGGGGGGGGGGTCCCCACAAAAACCGACCTGCACGTATCAGGAGGTGGAAAAAACACACAGACACACATTGAACGTCGACCCTCAATGCAACATCGAAAAAAATCGTGGGAAGTGGAAGGGGAAGACGATGCTCCAGCAGACAAGCCTTGGCTCTGTGCCTATTCGTGTGTGTGTGTGTGGGTGGGTGGGTGGGTGTGTGTGTGTGTGTGCGAGTGTGCGTGTGTGGGTGTGCGTATGGGTGTGCGTGTGCGTGTGCGTGTGCGTGTGCGTGTGCTTGTGCGTGTGCGTGTGCGTGTGCGTGTGCGTGTGCGTGTGCGTGTGCTTGAGAGTGTACGTGTGCGTGTGCGTGCGCGTGCGCGTGCGCGTGCGCGTGCGCGTGCGCGTGCGCGTGCGCGTGCGCGTGCGCGTGCGCGTGCGCGTGCGCGTGCGCGTGCGCGTGCGCGTGCGCGTGCGCGTGCGCGTGCGCGTGCGCGTGCGCGTGCGCGTGCGCGTGCGCGTGCGCGTGCGCGTGCGCGTGCGCGTGCGCGTGCGCGTGCGCGTGCGCGTGCGCGTGCGCGTGCGCGTGCGCGTGCGCGTGCGCGTGCGCGTGCGCGTGTGCGCGTGCGCGTGCGTGTGCGTGTGCGTGTGCGTGTGCGTGTGCGTGTGCGTGTGCGTGTGCGTGTGCGTGCGTGCGTGTGCGTGTGCGTGTGCGTGTGCGTGTGCGTGTGCGTGTGCGTGTGCGTGTGCGTGTGCGTGTGCGTGCGCGTGCGCGTGCGCGTGCGCGTGCGCGTGCGCGTGCGCGTGCGTGCGCGTGCGCGTTGCGCGTGCGCGTGCGCGTGCGCGTGCGCGTGCGCGTGCGCGTGCGCGTGCGCGTGCGCGTGCGCGTGCGCGTGCGCGTGCGCGTGCGCGTGTGCGTGTGCGCGTGCGCGTGCGCGTGCGCGTGCGCGTGCGCGTGCGTGTGCGTGCGCGTGTGCGTGTGCGTGCGCGTGCGCGTGCGCGTGTGCGTGTGCGCGTGCGCGTGCGCGTGCGCGTGCGCGTGGACGCGTATGCGTGCGTGTGCGTGCGCGTGCGCGCGCGTGCGCGTGGGCGTGTGCGCGTGCGCGTGCGTCTGCGTTTGCGTGTGCGTGTGCGTGTGCGTGCGCGTGTGCGTGTGCGTGGGCGTGTGCGTGTGGGTATGTGCGTGTGTATGTGCGTGTGCGTGTGCGTGTGCGTGCGCGTGCGCGTGTGCGTGTGCGCGTGCGTGTGCGTGTGCGTGTGCCTATGCGTGTGGGTGTGCGTGTGCGTGTGCGCGTGCGTGTGCGTGTGCGTGTGCGTGTGCGTATGGTTGTGGGTGTGGGCGTGTGCGTTGTGTGTTGTGTGTGTTGTGTGTGTGGTGCGTGGTGTGCAGGTTGTGTGTGCTGTGTGTGTTGTGTGTTGTGTGTGCGTGTGTGTGCATTTGTGTGAAAATGTGTGTGTATGTGTGTATGTGTATGTGCGTGTGCGTGTGCGTGTGCGTGTGCGTGTGGGTGTGGGTGTGGGTGTGGGCGTGGGTGTGGGTGTGGGTGTGGGTGTGGGTGTGGGTGTGGGTGTGGGTGTGGGTGTGGATATGTGTGTGCGTGCGGGTGCGTGTCTCTGTGTTCGTGTGCGTGCGTGCGTGCGTGCGTGCGTGCGTGCGTGTGTGCGTTTGTCTGTGCGTGCGTGTGTGCGCGCGCGTGTCTCTGTATGTGTGTGCTTGTGTGTGTGCGTGTGAGTGCGCGCGTGTGCGTGTGCGTGTGTGTGTGTGTGTGCGTGTGTGTGCGCCTGTGCGTCTGTGTGTCTGAGTCTGTGTGTCTGTGTGTATGTGTGTCTGTGTGTCTGTGTGCCCGTGTGTCTGTGTGCCTGTGTCTGTGTGTGTCTGTGTGTGTGTCTGTGTGTGTCCGTGTGTGTGTGTGTCTGTGTGTCTGAGTGTGTGTGTGTGTCTGTGTGTGTGTGTGTGTCTGTGTCTGTCTGTGTCTGTGTATGTCGGTGTGTAGGTGTGTGGCTGTGTGTCTGTGTGTGCGTGTGTATGTGTGTTCGTGTGTGTGTGTGTGCGAGCCTCTGGGCCCCTTCACCTCAGGCAAGCGGTGATCAGGACGACCAGCCGCGAAGCAGACCTGCGCCATACCTGCGGCCTCTTCTACAGCAGGGGCCCGACCACAGGAAACCTTCCACAAGAAACCCAGCCCTGAGACCCCAGGACGTCCGTTGACTCTTGGTGCGGGAACGTCACGCCCTCCGTCGCAAGACCATCGAAACCCAAGAACTCCAGGGCTTAGTGGGCCCCGGAAACGGCAGGGCCGTTTTGTCACAGTTTCCAAAAAATGGTCCCCTGAAAATGGAAACGGCAAAAAAACGGCGACCGGAAACGGCAACAAAAACGGCTCCAGGATTGGAACCGGAGCCGGAACCGGTCAAAAAACGGCGACGGAACCGGTAACAAAACGGCGTCGGAACCGGCAACAAAAACGGCAAAACGGAACCGGTAAAAAACGGCCCTGTCGTTTCCAGGGCCCACTAAGGCCCTGTCGTTACCAGGGCCCACTAAGCTCCAGGGCTTCCACGAGTAACCCAGCCCTGAGACCCCAGGACGACCGTCGACTCTTGGTGTGGGAACGTCACGCCCTCCGTCGCAAGACCATCGAAACCCAAGAACTCCAGGGCACCTTGGAGGCAAGCAGGGTGTCTCTCGGCATGGACCCCCACTGTAGCCGTCGTCCCTGCCGGCGCCGCCACGGCGAGGGGCCTACGGCGCGGCGCGGAGCGAAAGCCGCCTCCGCGCCCCCGCGGGTGGCACGGACCTCCGCCTTCCCGACTGCGCTGTTCGACGCGCGGGGGCTCCCAGAGCTCTCCTCCTCCTCTTCCTCCTCCTCCTCCTCCTCCTCCTCCTCCTCCCTCCTCCTCCTCCTCCCTCTCCGCCTCCTCCTCCTCCTCCGCCTCCTCCTCCTCGGATTGTGGGTCGGTCGGCATACAGGTCAGTCAGCATCGGATTCGGTCGGGCATGTCCCCCGACAGGCAGATTGTGGGCGAAAGCTGTAAACTGCGAGAAGCAAATATACACCATCATGGTAGATAACACAAGAAATGAGATATGTCTGGCAACAAAAACACGTCCCAATACTAGGTTTGACTATATTTGAATACCCCTCCTGTAAAGAGACATGCCCGACTTACGCATCGGATCGGGACGTCGGATCGGATCGGGAGGTGGGCCCGATCGGGCCGCACCCGCCACGGGACCGGAAGCGAGCCGGACGGGCCAGGCCCGGATGCCAGGGCCGGGCCCCTCCTCCTCCTCCTCCTCCTCCTCCTCCTCCTCCTCCTCCTCCTCCTCCTCCTCCTCCTCTCATCCTCCTCCTCCTCCTCCTCCTCCTCCTCCTCCTCCTCCTCCAGACATCGGATCGTCGAACTATCGGGACCGACTCGGGTTGGGGCCAGCCAGAGTCAAGATCGAGTCGGATCGGTCGAATCGAACTGGACTCTGAAAGGGGGGGTCCAGCAAAGGATCCGAGGCGGCGATCGAGGCGAATATAGCCCAGGGGCGTGCCATACACGCCTCCCTCCAGGAGCCTCGCCGAGCACGTGGACCATGTGAGTCTTGCTCCCCCCGTTGGGCCAGTCGCCACTGTCGCTGCCCCCGAGTCGAGGGGGGCTTCGCGAAGCAGCTCGCGGCGTGGCAGGCGCCGGAGGCGCGAACATGCATCGGGGACGGGAGGGCGCCCAGCGGCGGGACCGAACCCAGCTGCATGCAGCAGGTTTCGCCAAGCTTCCCCCCCCCCGTTGCCCTGCTTCCCCCCACGTCGTTTCCCTGTTCCCCCCCCCTCGCCCCATCTCCCCTCGTCTCCCTGTTTCCCCCCCTCGCCCCCCCCCCCCCGCTGTTTCCCTGTTCCTCCCCCCCCCCCTCGCACGACCGGGTGGGAGCAGGAGGAGAGGCCACCCAGAGACCACCCAGCCGACCCCGTACAGGTGGCCTGGGAGGGGGAATGGAGGGAGGGAGGGAGTGGGGAGAGAGGATGCACAGTTTTGTGCGGAAACGCACGGGAGCCTCCCGTACCATCCTGCTGGATCTGGGGGATCAAAGCGCTCCTCGGCGCCAGATCGGCGCCAGATCGGCACGAAGCTGGCGCTGTCTCATCGAGCACCAGATGCTAATCGACGCTAAGGCACTCTGTCGGCGCCTCCCTTCAGTGAAAACAGCCTGGGACCGAAACCGACGGACCTGGACCCGCAAAAATGACGGCCGCGATTCCCTCTCGCGAGCCGAAAACGGCCAATTCGCTAATCGACGTGTCAGGGTAGGAGGTCTATCAACCTCCGACTCTGCAGACGGAACTGCGAAGGGACACGAGGCTCCCATGGTTTGCTTGATTTGATACCGAATGCAAATAAGGGATCAGCACGGATTCACTGTTGGGCATCAGAGCGGGCCCTGACGTGGCAGACCCCCCGGGCCAGGGCTGAACGGATGGGGTGGGGGGCCCGAGAGTGCGGCGGAGAGGGAGGAAGAGGAACTACCACGCCCCCAAAAAACATCGCATAACCACATGGCATAAAACAAAGGGGTCCTGAGGGAAACGGGTCCTTGAATCCGGGGGCCTTCCTCCAGAACCAAATCTGCATCCTGAGAGCCCAGGGAGGGCCCCGGGCGCACGAAAACTGAAAAAACCTCAGCCCCGCCGGTCGGCGAAAACGGCGAAACAAAACTGCGACCCCCCCGAGGAACCCGAACAAATGCTGCGAAACTCCCTCGGGATCCGCTTGATTCACTGCGATGCTTCTGTCGGGGATCTACTGATACTGGTCAATCCACACCCGGGTCAGTCAGGCCTTGCAAGATCCTGCACGATGCTGCGGGATCCCGCATTCGGGGGTCTTCTGACCAATCCAGACCCGGGTCAGGCAAGCCTTACAGGATCCTGCAAGATCCAACAGGATCCTGCAGGCTCCTGCACCCAGACCCGGGTCAGTGCGCCCCTGGCCCTGCAGGATTCTGCAAAATCTGGCCCGCGTTTGCATTTAGGAGAATCAAGAATGGCATCAGCATAAAAACTCGGAGGTCCGCGCGGATTCCTCGGATCCGCGCTGGACCCCCCTCCCTGGCGCACGGAGCGCGCCAGGGGCGGCGCTGGAGGCGCCGCCAGGGGGCCCCAGCGCTGCTGGTCCGAGAAATCCGCGCGGACCTCTGAGTTTGTGTGTTTACGTCACTCTTCGTTCCCATAGCTCACTGGGTCCTGGAAACGACAGGGCCGTTTTTGTTACCGGTTCCGTTTTGCCGTTTTTTTGCCGGTTCCGACGCCGTTGTGTAACTGGTTCCGTCGCCGTTTTTTGACTGGTGCCGGCTCCGGTTCCAATCCTGGAGCCGTTTTTGTTGCCGTTTCCGGTCGCCGTTGTTTTGCCGTTTCCATTTTCCAGGGACATTTGTTTTGGAAACGGTGAAAAAACAGCCCTGCCGTTTCCGGGGCCCACAAAGTCCCATAACATTGCCCCCCAGCTCCAGGCCCCCAGTTCTGCCTCGGCGTGCGCCCGCCGGCACCCCTCCCCTCCGTGGCACCACGGGCCCCCTGCGCCACTGGGCCTCGCGCCTCCTGGCGCGCTAATGGGGGCAAGACCTGCCTTCACGCACCCGCGCCGCCACTCGGGCACACGCAGGCCTGGCTTTCGTGGGGCCTGGTTCCCAGAGGAGAACAGGTACCCATACTGCTACCCTTTCCGCCTCTTTCCCTGTTGGGGGGCCTCCTCGGAGGCCCTCGTCGCCACCGCTGGATGCGCCTCGAAATCCTGATCAGAACCCACCGCAGGAAAGGTCAGGGGAGTAGCGGTATCGATACCTGTTGGTTTCCTCAGGTTCAGTGATGCGTGTGTGGATGCAGTCAGGGGCTGCCTGACCTCGCACTGTATGCTCAGCTTGTTAAGCTTGCCCACCTTGTGTCTGGCAAGCTACATAACAATCCACTCGCACCGCAATCCACGAGGTCATTGGCCCGCTCGTTGAGGAAGAGACCCGTGTGAGACTCCACCACACCAGGTACTGACCAAGCTCATCAACCAGGCTCCGAACATGCAGAGCTAGTCTGATGCGTAACCAGGGGACGCCCCGCCCCGCCCAATCCCACTAACCAGAACCTGACGCCACCCGAAGAAATACGAACTGTCTGCGGCAGACCTGGTGGAGCGATAATTGCTTATTCTTTGCGGGCAATACTTGTATCCATATCCAGAACGTCGTGGACTTCTTGGGAAGAGGTGCCGCAACGCCGAGGCGCACTGGACATGGATAAAATCAAGCCTCTTGGGGCCAGATTGTTATCCATATCCAGTGCGTTTACTGCTTCTGGGGAAGAGGGCCCAAGGATCCAAGACGCACTGGATGTGGATATCGGATACAACTATTGCCCGCATTCTTTTTGGGTTTCTGTCTTCCCCCCCACCACCTCCCATGTTTTCGCATATTTTCTGGGAATCGACGAATAATTGTGTCTGTGTGTTTTTCCCCCTCCTGATTATTGTTCTGGCCTGGGGGCCCAAATCACTAGTCAGCTCCCACTGCTCGCTGGGTAAGCCTGCATGGGAGCCAATTGTTCACCTCCGCGGCGCGATCCTCGACGTCATGCCGACCCGACTGCCCAGAGCTCGCCAGGTCCCGACCAGATCCGACGAGATCCAAACGAAACGCCCAAATCCGAACCAAATCCAAACGAAATCCAAACGATCCGACGAAATCCAAACGAAATCCAAACGAATCCGACCGATCCGACCAAATCCAGACGAAAGGCACTGTTGGACCCTCCGAGGCCCGCATGAAGGACCCCGCCATGCCCGCGGCCCTGGCTCTAGGTCGGGCATGTCGCCCTACAGGCGGATTCTGGACGAAAAATTATAAACACTCACCAAATATTCAAACATTGCCATACAAATACTCCAAAACAAATCGTCCCCAGACTTTCGTTTTACTAGTCTTGAATATTCCTCCTGCAGAGGGACACGCCCGACTCACCCATGGCTTCTACCCGAGCCGCCCCCCCCCCCCCCGAGAATCGGGGGCGCGTGAACACGAATTAGCTGGACTCGCCATCCATGGATCTGGCGCGCGGTCGCCAAGTCCACGGATCGGGAGAGGCGCCCTCCCCAGTGCCGAGATGCGGCTGGTGCCGCCTCGTTCTGCGGTGGAAATCGGGGACTACCCATAGCAACGGGACCCGTCGCTAGTGCACGCCTCCCCCCCGAGAAGATCGGGAGCGGCCAAGAGGGGGGGGTCCAAGAGGGGGGGGGTGCACATCATGACCGGCGGCATGTGCGCGGCCCACCGGGGGGGCCAGGGACGTAATGAAACAAGAAGAGGCGCCATGAAATCTGGGGAGATATCATGGCCCCCGCCATGATATCCACCCCCCCCTAGTCATTACCCCCCTCTTTTCCGCCCCCGAGAAGAGCACCCCTCCGCGGCGCGGCCCCGTGGAGGGCTGGGCTCCCCCGCGGGTCCGCTGGGCGCCCCCCCCCCGTGCGGCCGAGGCGAGGCCGCGAGGGCGCAGAGGCAAGCTGGCCATCGCTCGGACGTCCATTCCCTGTGCTTTTTTTGGTTTCGTGCGTGGTTTTTGTTCGCCAAATAATCAAGGATGCTGCTAGATGGTCCTCGCCGAGAAAAAAATGCACACGTCCGAGCGATGCCAGGCAAGCGCACGAGGCCCTGCGCCCGAGGAGAAGAGGGGGCCCTGGGCCACGCAGACAAACAGGCACGGATCCCGGGAGTCCCCACACGTTTCACACGTGGTGGGACGCACGAAGACGTAACAGTACCAGATGTCCTCCCATGGAGAGGCGCGCGTCCGACCCGAGCGTATAATATACCCATCTTGTGGTATATCGTTCCCCGAGCGGTGCGGCCAGGAAGCGCCCGCCACGACGCACCTACTGTAAGATGTCTCGCTGCGCGCGTGGCCCGTGGGGGGCGACGCACACACAGTCTAAGCATGTTGGGGTGACGCCGATTTGTTATGGGCTTTCGTCTTCCCCCGACCACCCATATCTTCCAATACGTTCCTGGGAATCGACGATGCATTGCGTCTGTGTGCTAGTTCCCCTCCTGAAAAGATGGCGGCGCGCACAGGGGGGTAGAGGGAGGGGGAAGGCGGACGAGGCTGCTTCTCAGGTGGTGCTGGCCATGCATCTATAGAGAGAGAGAGAGAAGGCCCGCGCCTTCTGAGAAGCAGGGGTGCTTCCAAGAAGCGTTCCCCCCTCCCCCTACGCCCCTCTGCGCATGGCCGACAAAGGCAAACCAAAAGGTATCGATACCGCTACTCCCCAGACCTCTCCCGGGGTGCGTTCTGCCCAGAATCTCGAAGCGAGTCCAGCGGTGGCGACGAGGGCCTCCGAGAAGGCCCAAAACGCAAAAACGAAGGAGGGCTGGCGGTATGGGTACCTGTTCCTCCTCCGAACGAGCCCCCTCGCCAAAGGCCCAAGGTTCCATGGAGGCACCCCGAGCGTCACACGTTGGAGAATCCAGAGGCGAAGGGCAGAAGGATAGCATTCGGGAGCTGGGCATGCTCTGAGCTCTCGTGCCAGCTGCACTCCAAGGTCGCTCCGGAAAGGAAATACTATGCCTACGCGGGGCGTTGTACGAGAGCACGAAAAAATGCTCGACCGAACCGACAAAAAGAGCACCGCAATCGCGGACTCCTTCAGATAACACGCGGATGCTGTGCCGACTACGATAAAAGATCGAGCAAGGCTGTACGCTAGAGCTACGCATGGGTTCATCTCAACGGCAACTGTATGTCCATCTGCTTGCATGCCGTTCGCACTCCAGCGAGCAGCAGCTCACAATCGCGTGGGAATATTCGACCAATCGTCCCAAATCGAAAGGACTCCCCGCGAGCAAGTTTTCCAGGGTATATCACCATGCCCAGTCCACTCAGAGCGTCGTAGAAAGTCTGGAAATGAAAGTTATTGTGCTCGGGCACAATGAACGTACTGATCAAGTACGAGCGGATGCTCTCATCGACGTAGAATCTGAAGCCCATCTCTTCCATGCCGAGCCTGATGGTCTCGTAATTTGCCTTATACCGCCCCGCCCGGCCAGCCACTCCGCCCTCGGCCTCCCACTCCGACAGCGCCTGCCGAAACGCCAGCAGGGAGTGCGTGGGCGGCGTGAACCTGAACTGCCCAGAGGCCTCCAGGCCCTTCCACTGGGCGTGCACATCAAGCGAGAGGCTGCGCGCGTTGCCCTCCGCCCGCTCCAGCGCGGCGCGCCCGCAGAGGACGAAGGAGAAGCCCGGGACACCCTCGATGCACTTGTTCGACGAGCTCACGGCGTAGTCGATGCCCCAGTCCATCTGGAGGTCGTAGGCGCCGAACGCGCTCATGGAGTCCACCAGCAGGGACACGCCGGCGAACTCCCGCTTCACGGCCGCCGCGAGCTCCTGCAGCGGGTTTATCACGCCTGCCGTGGTCTCGTGGTGCACCACCGAGACGTGGGTGAAGGATGGGCGCCCAGAGGCCCCCGCGTCCTGGCGCAGCCTCTCCCGCGGTAGCCTACCCTTTGGAAAGGGGGTGGAACGGCACGACAAAGAGCCATACGTGCCCCCTCCCCCTGTCATCTCTACGTCAAGCGTCCCCCCCCGTCACACCACCCTCTCCCAGAAGGATGGGTCACCTGGAGGCCTCTGTATGCCCGGGAAACTCCCCGGAGGCCCGAAGACATCCCGCGCAGGTGCCCTGACTGCAGATGTCGGCGGAGGGCCAGTTGAGGCAACGGAGGCTCCCGCGGCCAACATCCGCTCAAAACCGGCACCCGGACCCCTCCCGGGATAGATCCCGACCCGTTGTTCAAGGCAGACCTGGCCGCGGCAATGAGGATCCCAGAGAGGACAAGAAAACGTCATCGAGGGCCTCGGTTGCCTCGACTGGCCCCCCTCCGATATATACACACAGCAAATCTCCGACCCTCCCGCCCCCCTTCACAGAATGCCCAGGCAGGCGACCGCGGGGCCTCTCCAGGGTCTCCGCCACGGACACCGCCTGGTCGTCTGGCCACTCCAGGCACTCGTGCTCGATGCCGAGGTACCGGCAGATTGGCCGGGCCAGCCGAGGCTCACAAGGAAGGCGCAGCCCCCGGAGGGAGGGAAGAGGAAAAGGAGAGGAGAGGACGGCTTCGGTCATCAGGCGGACGCTCCGCCTCCTCCTCCCTCCCCTCATCTTCCCCTCATCTTTCTCCTCCTCCTCCTCCCCTCATCTTCCTCCTCCTCCTTCTCCTCCTCTCCTCTTCCACCTCCCCCTCCTCTTCCATTCCTACGCCATATAAGTAACTTCTCCGTGCCGCACCCCGAGGCCAGTTTTTAGGCGGGCCGGGCGTTTCGCCTAAGACTTCCTCACCGTTCATGACTCCGAAACTGAAACATTGGCAATAGCTTCACAGATGGGTGGTTTCAAAATGTGGTTCTCGCCTTAGCGCGGCGCACATTCATTGTACACATTTGCAAGAGCTTCACACAGTTAGGGCGGGTGGTTTTCAAAATGTGGCTCTCGCGGCGCACATCCGTTTAAAATAATGGCAAGACCGTCACGACTTGAGGGCGGGTGGTTTTCCAAATGTGGTTCTCGCCTTAGCGCGGTGCACATTCGTTAAAAAATGCAAGAGATTCGCGGATGGAGGGCGGGTGGTTCTCAAAATGTGGCTCTCGCCTTAGCGCGGCGCACATGCGTTCTAAAAAATTGCAAGGGTGCCACGGATAGAGGGCGGTTCTTTTTCAAAATGTGGTTCTCGCCTTAGCGCCGAGCACGTTCATTTCAAAATTTGCAAGGGTTTTGCGGATTACCATCACCAACGTACCAAAAATTGCTTTTCGAAAGGATTCTGGATTACGCGGATGCAACCGTTACGTTGATTCGTTGTGTTGAAGTCCCAGGAATGGCGTCCTGGCACGGCTCAGGATCGTCAAGACGCAACTGCCCGGTTAATCCGTGGCGCTGGACTCCCGAGAACAATGTTTTGGCATGCTTCAAGGTCTTCAAATGGTTGCCTTCCAACGAAGCAGTTTCCTCAATGAAAATGAACCGTTGTAGGGGACTATGAAGAGGGAGCTTGGAGGGAGGGCTTATTCCAACATCGTTAATGACTCGTGGGTTTACACTGGTCCTCCTCCTCCTTATCCTCCTCATCCTCATCCTCCTCATCCTCCTCATCCTCATCCTCATCGTCGTCTTCCCGTTCGGCGCACCCCCTCCTCACTCAACCCTCATATTCCCCCTCCCCGTCCAGTTATTACCCTTCCCCCTCTCCCTCCCCCCGTTCCCCTTAGTTTCTCCTTCTTATAATTGTCAGCATTACGATCATCATATTGAGCCCATCTCCTCCACCTCGCATCCGATTCCCATCCCCCTCTTGACCCCCTCTCTTCCCATCTATGATCCCCCTCTTCACCCCCTCTCTTCCCATCCCGCACCGCTTGCCCATCGTTGCCCGCGTCCTCAGGACTACTGCTCGCAATCTGCTTTCACGCCTGTGCGGCAAGGGCCCGACCAGTTCAAGTCGGGGGCCCCGAGATAAGACACGCATCTACATACATATATAAATATATGGATGTACGTATATATGTGTATATCCAAACACAAATATATAGAGAGATACAAGACTGCATTGGCGCTTCGCGCCATACACCTTGTTCCTTGTAGTTGGGCGGGCCACCGCCAAGTCGGAATGGGTGAGGAGATCCTGAGCGGGAGCGACCGGACAACACCAGCTGAGGCCATCTCAGGGCGCTTCGGGGCCCAGAGGCGCGAACATGTCTCAGGCTAGTGGTTGAGCGAGCATGAAGCAGGGCATCCTCCTCCTCTTTCTCCTCCTACCCCTTTTCCTCCTCCTCCTCCTCCTCCTCCTCATCCTCATCCTCTTTCTCCTCTCTCCACTTCTTACTCCAATTTCCCATCCTCCTCCTCCTTCTCCTCCTTCTCCTCTACCTCCTCCTCCTCCTCCTCCTCCTCCTCCTCCTCCTCCTCTTCCTTCACCTCCTCTTCCTCCTCCTCTTCCTTCACCTCCTCCTCTTCCTTTACCTCCTCTTCCTCCTCCTCCTCTTCCTTCACCTCCTTCACCTCCTTCGCAGAGGCGGATAACGGCATCGGTGCGTTATCTGGGATGAGGTACGCGGAAACGTAGTGTCCATCTTGGTCACCATCCATTCAGGTCAGCGTCAGTTCGTGGATCCTCCTCGGAAGCAGGTCACGACTGGCATGCACCACGGCCAAGATCGGCATCGACCGAATCCCGCGACACTTTGGCCACGGCCGGCAGAAGGCCGAATCCCGCCACCCGCGTGGCCCCTGCCGCCCCGGGATGGTCGCTTGGCGGTGCCCGTAGGCTCCGTTGACCAGGATGAGGACCTTGCCGCCCTCGCGCGGCACAGCCGTGCCCAACATCGCCTCGACCCCCATGGTGCCAGCTCCCTGGGAACACGGCGCGGAAAGGGAGAGAGGGAAAGCGGTCGTGAAAACATCTCGGCGGGAGGTGGTTGTTGACGATTTTCAGCCTCTGAGGACCCTCGGCGTGTCCCCGTCACAAGCCAACTTAGGATGAAAAGCTGGTCCCAGGGAACACGGGTCGACACCACCAAGGGTCCATAAAACAGAAACGTCGGGCTCAAGCAACAGGCAGAGGGAGGGGTTCCGAGATCCGGGCGTCCCTATCTGTTCAACACATGGCGTTTTTCAAGGGGCTTCGGGCCCCAAGGCCCTCACGGATCGATACGGCCAGAAACATCGCGAACCGGGTCTAAGATTCCAGTCGTGTATGCTCGCGACCTTGATTGTTCGCGCTCTTGCAATTGTTTCACATCGCCGGATCTCGCGGGAGGAAAACAGAGAGAGAGAGAGAGAGAAAAAAAAAAAACAAAAAAAAAAAAAAAAAATGTGAGAGAGAGAGAGAGCGCACACCACTTCGGACGAAGTTAGTGTCGGGGCCCCCGAGCCACACGTGCGCAAGGCGTACCAGCCTCACAATGCGGGAAGCGCCGCATGCTGAACTAGCGTGGCGGGATAACCCTGAAAGGTCTTTACACCCCCCCCCCCACCAACAAGTGAAACGAATATTTTCTTTGCTGGCCAATAGGTAGGAACACTATTTTTTCCTCGCGGCGCCCGCCAGCAGCGCTCACATGGAACATCTTGGTTCCAACACTTGGCAGTGACAATTTCCTCCTGAAAACTCCATTCGGAAAAAAATGTTGAAGTTCAGGCCCCGCGCGGTTCTTCAGGAAATCCATGCTCTTTCTCGTGGATGATACAGGACGATGGCGTCTTTTCTATTGCACACAATGGAAGTCGCCATGTTGGCCGCGCGCGCAGGCCGGGCGCCAACAGGAGTTCTGCCCGCATTGCTAGGCAGACGACGTTGAGCAAACTCGCGAATAAAAACGAGGCAGTTCCAGTTGCAATCTTCGCAAATCGATGCTTACAAATCCTCCCGCGTGCAGGGTAGCCTACAATATATTTGTTCGATTCGAAACATAATACCCAAACGCTACCCAACCCGCCCAACAATACAGGGAAACGTATCACACGTCGCCGCGCGCGCAGACCAGGCGCCAGCAGGAGTTTTGCCAGGAGTGCTAGGAACGAATCTGAGCGAACCCGCGACTTTAAACGACGCAATTCCTACAATGAGAAAGTGTAAGCAAATTATCGCGCGCGCAGGGCAAACCAATAGACTACCCAGCTGAACAAGTGCCACCAGAAAGATACCCAGCCCGCCCAACAACATAGAGGACAAACAACAACACGCCGCCACGCGCGAAAGCCAGGCGCCAGCAGGAGTTCTGCCAGCCGCGCGAAGCGAACGAGTTAGCGCAAAGTCGCAAATCAAACAGGGCAAACCCGATTGTAATCCTGATGGGAAGATGCTCGCAAATCCCCCTGCGTGCAGGCTGGCCCACATTGGAATATTGCGCTGGAAAAATAACGCCAAACCATGATCCAGCCCGCCTAACAATAAAGGGAAAACTGATCCCATGTCGTCGGGCCTGCAGGCCAGGCGCCAGCAGGAGTCCGACCGATAACGCTAGGCAGGCGAGTTCGAGCAAGTTTGCATTAGTCATGCGAAGATGCTCACAATGGATTTTTCCGTCGAAGGAACGAACCCCAAACATTAATAACCCCCCAACAATAGAGATAAACTGATCCCACGTCGCCGCGCGCGCAGATCAGCCGCCAGCTGGCGTTCTGCCAACACTGCTCGGCAAATGGCTTCGACCAAACTCGCCAAACAAAAAAGAAACAAATCCCATTGCAATCCCCTTGCGTAGACGCTTACAGGTCCCCCAGCGCGCAGGGTGACCCCGCTGGAAAACGATTTCCAGCCCGCCCAACAACAGAGGGAAATCAATATCACGTCGTTGCGCGCGCCGACCAGGCGCCAGCAGGACTTCTGCCAGGAACGACAGGCAAACGATTTTGAGCAAACCCGCAAATCAAAACGACGCGATTCCTACTGCAATCCTCACGAGAAGATGCTCCCACACACACACACACACACACACACACACACACACACACACACGGGCGCAGGGTAGCCCGCGCCGGATGATCCCGCTGGAGAAATTCCTCCCCATACGTGACCCGCACAGCACAATGTTTTTGTTTCTTGCTGTTACCTAACAGTTTTTGCTGATAGGTTTCTAGTGGACTCAAAAGAGAGCATCTGATGACTCCACAGGGGGGTCTGGGCGGGCGCCGGGGAAAAAAAACGGCAACAGAGCCGGGCTCGTTTTAAGCCAACGGTCACACACTTCGTGCTCTTCGACCTCCCAGAACTCCATTCCCGGGCCACATTTTGAATAACCGGAGCCAACTGTAGGCCACTTCGTGCTCTTCGAGTTCCCAGAACTCCACTCCCGGGCCACATTTTAAATGCCTGGAGCCAACTGTAGGCCATGTCGTGCTCTTCGAGTTCCCAGAACTCCACTCCCGGGCCACATTTTGGATGCCCGGAGCCAACTGTAGGCCATGTCGTGCTCTTCGAGTTCCCAGAACTCCGCTCCCGGGCCACATTTTGAATGCCCGGAGCCAACTGTAGGCCACTTCGTGGTCTTCGAGTTCCCAGAACTCCATTCCTGGGCATGATTTTGAATGCCCGGAGCCAACTGTAGGCCACTTCGTGTTCTTCGAATTCCCAGAATTCCACTCCCGGGCCACATTTTTTGAGGCTGAGGCTGAGGCTGAGGCAGGCTGAGGCTGAGGCAGGCTGAGGCTGAGGCCGAGGCTGAAGGCAGACTGAGGCTGAGGCTGAAGCTGAGGCTGAGGCTGAGGCAGAGGCAGGCTGAGGCTGAGGCAGGCTGATGCTGAGGCAGGCTGAGGCTGAGGCTGAGGCTGATGCAGGCTGAGGCTGAGGCAGGCTGAGGCTGAGGCCGAGGCTGAAGGCAGACTGAGGCTGAGGCTGAAGCAGGCTGAGGCTGAGGCTGAGGCTGAGGCTGAGGCAGGCTGAGGCTGAGGCTGAGGCAGGCTGATGCTGAGGCAGGCTGAGGCTGAGGCAGGCTGAGGCTGGCTGAGGCTGATGCAGGCTGAGGCTGAGGCAGGCTGAGGCGGAGGCCGAGGTTGAAGGCAGACTGAGGCTGAGGCTGAAGCAGGCTGAGGCTGAGGCTGAGGCAGGCTGAGGCTGAGGCTGAGGCAGGCTGATGCTGAGGCAGGCTGAGGCTGAGGCTGAGGCTGATGCAGGCTGAGGCTGAGGCAGGCTGAGGCTGAGGCCGAGGCTGAAGGCAGACTGAGGCTGAGGCTGAAGCAGGCTGAGGCTGAGGCTGAGGCAGGCTGAGGCTGAGGCTGAGGCAGGCTGATGCTGAGGCAGGCTGAGGCTGAGGCTGAGGCTGATGCAGGCTGAGGCTGAGGCAGGCTGAGGCTGAGGCCGAGGCTGAAGGCAGACTGAGGCTGAGGCTGAAGCAGGCTGAGGCTGAGGCTGAGGCAGGCTGAGGCTGAGGCTGAGGCAGGCTGAAGCTGAGGCTGTGACTGCGACTGCCGTTGCCACTGCGACTGTCATCGCGAATGCGACTACGACTGCGAGAACAGCAGAATTCTACAACTGGATTCTCATCCGAATCTTAAGGGGCATGCTTCCAGATATGCTCGTACACATCGCTGTTAGGTTGCTTTGCCGGGATAATGTTTTAACATATATCTATATATATACATACATATACATGCATACCTATATATACATGTATATATATAACAAAAAAAAAAAAAAAAAAAAAAAAAAAAAAAAAAAAACGACGAGGAGGTTGCATGCCCAACTCCTCTCACCGCCGAGAAACGGAGGGGGGGTCAAAACTGAAAACCCCCTAAGGTCAACATCCCCCCTGTCGCGGGCCGCGGGGGGCCCGCGGCTTTAAGAAAGACACGGCCACCGGCGAGCACACCCCACCGGGGCCCAGTCTGCGACGCCCCGCGAAGCGAGGCGCCGGCGTTTAGCGCGGCCCGGAACGCGCGCCTCGGCGCCCCGCCAGGAAAAAAAAAACGCCGAACCGGGCCGCCCCGGAAGAGAGAGAACGAGAGAGAGAGAGAGAGAGAAAAAAAAAAAAAAGAGAGAGAAAGAGAGAGAAAACATAAAAAATATAGAAAGAGAGAGAGAGAGAGAGAGAGAGAGAGAAAGAAAGAGAGAAAGAGAGAAAGAGAGAGAGGAAATAATCGAGAAAGAGAAAAATAGAGAGAGAAAGAGAGAAAACAAATAACAACAAGAGAGATGAGATGCTGGGGGACAAGTGGGGCGAGATGCCGCGGTCTGACTTGGAGCCCCCCCCTCCGGGCGCTTCGCCCAGGGGCGCAGAGACAAGAAGTTAACAAGGCCGGGCCGACATGCGTGAGCGAATGAAACCTTGCCCCATCCACGGGGCCCGCCTCCTCGCGTCCTCGTCGAGCGCCGCTCGCCGCCGACGCGCGCGGCGCCGGCGCGCCCCCCCCCCCCACCCTGTGGGCGGCGACGCGCCCGAGCTGCGCGCGGGCGACGGGGGCGGGGAGGGGGAGCGGCAGGGGCGAAGGAGGAAGGGCGACGGGCCCATGAGAAGCCTCGGCCTCGCGCCCCCCACCAAGCCCAGTGAGACGGGGGGGGGGGGCCGGCAGAGGGAGTCGGATCGCCATCTGAGTTGGGTCCTTGGTCCTGTGTAGGAGTCGGAATCGGCGTGCGATCTGGATCTGTGAATCCACGCAAATCAGGGTCGCGCCTCGTTCCTTTTTCCCCATATCCAAAGATGGGGTTCTTGTTATTGGCCACACTCATCACTCAGACTCACTCATCAAGACTCACTCATCACTCAGACTCAGTCCTCACTCAGACAGACACACCACTCATCACTCAGACTCACCACTCAGATTCATTCATCACTCAGACTCACTCATGCTCTCTCATCACTCAGACTCAGGCGATTCGCTCGTCTCAGCAATCTAAGGGGGGCCGCGGGGGGGCA